TGGCCCTGGGCCAGCAGGTTCCGTCGGGCTCTCTGCTCCCCGAATGGAGAAGGGCTGCTTTTGTTTTTCAGTCCAGCTGTTCTAGGTTACTCGCCATTTCTCCACCCAGGTGCACTCTCCTACCTCAGGGCGTTTGTACATGCTGTTCCCTCTGCCTGAAAGACTGTTCTCTTAGAAAACGTGTCCTCAACCTCTAGGTCTCAGTTTGTTTGTTCCTGGATTCATCCCATGCTGTTCACACATGCCATACCCTGTGCCAGGTGGTGGGAATCCAGAGTAAACAGGACAGATCCAGTGTAGCCAAGGTCAAGTGAGGAACAAAGATAGACAGTCGGGGAAGGGGCTGCTCTGGGAGGGGAGGGCACGGAGGAGGGGCCTGTACTGGAAGACCAGGCAGGGGGCACAGCCAGGTCCAAGGCCCAGAGGCAGGGAACAGCCTGGCTGTTGGAGGAACTGAAAGGTGACCTGCTTGGCTGCCTGGCTGAGGTGTAGGGAGCAGGATGAACTGTAGTGGGGGGTAGCACAGGAGGAGGTCAGAGAGAGAGGCAGGCCCGTTACTTGGCCATGGTAAGGACTTGGAGTTTGAAATGAGCTATAAACAGAGAGACGGCTTCTGACTTATATCCCTAAGCTCCCTGGGCTGCTGTGTGAGGAACAGACAATTGGATGGACACAGGGAGTCAGTTGGGAGTTGGGGGCCTCGTAGGGCTCTAGAGAGCGATGATGGAGGCTTGGACCCTGGCAGGGGTGAGCAGAGGGCTGGTTTCTCGGTTACTGTGGGGGTAAATCTAATAGCTCAGAAGATGCTGAGGGGCTGGAGGGGCGGCCTTAGGATCATGAGCATAAAGAAGGTTTTTGAATGTGTGGAATTGCTGTGAAGACCTAGGGAGAGGGTGTGGATTAAGGAGTAGGGGAGGCAGCAAGGAGACTGAGAAGGGCCAGTGAGCCAGGTGGCATCCAGGAGAGGGGCTTCCTGATGGGGATGAAGGGGCGGGGGGTGCACAAGGGAGGACAGGAGGGGCCACTCGTGGGGCCACATGGCCGGGTGGTGTCTCTCGCCTTGGCCTTGATGGAGAGGTGCGGCCAGACAGCCGTGGGCTGG